AGCTCCGAAGCATTGAACGTCGACTCGCCGGTGGAGCCCTTGGCCGGCGACGAGGAATTGCAGCTCGGCCAGCTCTACTTCCTTCTCCCGATCGGGAAGTCCCACTTGCCGCTCTCTCTCCACGATTTGTGCGTTTTGGCCGTCACGGCCAGCGCCGCCCTTGGTGATCGGAGATTGAACGTCGTGAGAGAAAGCCGGGTTCCGGCGAGCGGAGGAGGATTCTCAGCCGAGGCACTGGTGGCGGCGGGAGATGCGGCGTCGTTTGGGTGGTTCATCAAGATGGTTGTGGCCAGCAAAAAGTTGACTTCTGTCCTCTTTGAGCCAAAATCGTCGTATTGCATTGAATTGTTAAATTAGGATACGAGTCAAATAGATAACAAATGGAGCAAGAAAAATTACCCCATTTAAGTATTTGATTTGACTGTCCATTTCGGGTGGATTTGTGGTGTACACCCATTGATTAATTCTTTTATTTGGCAATCATGTTTGTAAAGAAGTTAGGATGTTTTCTTTTGGCGGTTTTGGGTCCCAGATCAGACCAGATTAGTTCAGATCAGATCAGATTTGACTTTCGTAGTTATAAAATATACAGAGACCAGAAGTTTACCGGACCAATTCAGACCAGACCAAATCAAACCAGAGCAACAAATTTCAATCCAAAAGAAAACATCCTTAGTGGTAATTCAGAATTTAATTAGTTTTATTTGACAAATTGACATTCTTTCTTTTTTATTTGATATTAAATAAAATGACCTAATGCAAAAAATTAAAGTACATTTAATTTCATGGGCAAATCATTAAACAAATTGTAACGCAAAAAGGGATGTCGTGTGATGAAAATTTATTTGAGATACAATACACTTATACACCAACTTTTGTGTACACTTTTTGCACACGGTAAGGATGTTCACATGCGAATGGTATATTTTGTTGTGAATTGCCTCCTATGTACACTAAAAGCGTGTACACCAAGTTTTTCCTCAAATTAAAGACCCTATTTGAGATACAAGATACCAACTTTCAAGGCCCAAATTGAAGACCCTACAACTCTAAAAGCACAAACTTTATCTCTCCCGATGATATGGTATAATGATCAAAAAGATCATTTAAAGTTAATTTCTCTCAAAAGGTTTTCAAACAGGCTTGACCGAATGACAAATCTGGTCAGTCCGGACTGACCATATCATTTCTCCACTTATATAATAGGTACATTTAGAGGTTAATTATATGGTAACCTTGGATTCCCCCTTGATCTTTTTAGCATTTATTTTTAACAAAAACTAGATATTTTATTTTGCACAATGTATAATAATCAAATTCGATTGAGCTTGTAATTAATTTCGTGACTGGATTTACTCATGAGAACTATTTTAGCTTTTCTTATATATAATTATTTATTGCTTTATAAATAAAAGCTAATTTAAATATATTTGTTTAGAATTCAAATTATTCAGCCAATCAATGAAGACAGTATAGTTACAATTTCATCAATTGCAATATAATGTTATCCAACACTATTGTACGTGGCCTTGTGGGATCATTACATACTTCGTATTATTTAGGTCACTTTATTGCATATGTACTATTTACAACGCTATTGTGGCCTTGTGGGTTCATGCTCCTACTTCTTTTCAAAAAACAGAATAAAATCAAAATGTTAGCCTCCTCCGTTTCTAAAAAACTGTTTGCACTGCAGGAGCAATTTAGAACACTCAAGAGTACTTTTACACTTTCACCCAAATAATCTAATACGGAGTACCTGTTTTTTCTCCGTGAAGAAGCAAAAGCACTTATAAAAAGTAGATCTAAACACCCTCATAATGCAAACACAGTTTGTCCTATACAGCAAAACAAGGCTTTAAGCGTTTTATGATACAAAGTATGAGTTTTGATGTTGTTTTTCCTCGCTTCAATCTATTATTAGTCATATAAAAGCGTGCTTAAGTTTGTATGTCATGTTTTAAGAAACTTGTTTACATATAGATAATTTCTCAATTAACTTTAGAGAAATTTTATTAAATATGAGTAAAAGATAACTAAATTGTAGAAAGGTTATAGAATCAAAAAAGTCTTCTTTTATCATATTTGGAGCCATTTTTTTAACACCACTTTGAACTTCACGTTCTTATTTGTTGTATTATAATGAGCCAGCTGTGGATCGAATTGAGGGATTTTGTGTTGGAGATCAAGTGTTCTAGAATTTTGAATACATTTAATAATGGAGCGACAATTATTGATTATATATAATAAAGTTTACACGTTGAACATGTTTAAATGTCAAGCTCAGCGTACGCAATGCCAACGTCTAGTTCTTGTTGGAATCGCATTAATACACGTGCCTTTTGTACATTGTATTGGAATGTAGTTAGCCAATTCCTATTAAGGTTTAATTTTCATTGATAGGATCAGCTAATCAGTGGTGTTATAATCGACAGTAGAGAAATACTACTACTAGTAATTATTATATGGATGGCGAGTGGTGAGGGACAGGAACAACTAAGATTTGGGAAATTATTATGAGGCGTATAGTAAGTATATATTTCTGTTTTGTGGAACAAAGGTATGTAGAAAACATAGAAATAGAAGAAATCCAACTGCTCATCAACAACTCACGCTTCCTGGGATAACACGTGCAATGTTTCTAATCCTACACCAGATATCCAGCCACCAGTGACACCCACCTCTGCCGCTCCAAGCCCCGCGTCTACTGAGTGGATCTTGTTTTCGACTTATCAACTATCACAAAATATGCAATTTTTTATTTAGCATGTTATATTGTACACTATTCACATTGTACTTTTTACACTATTCACATATTCTCTTTTAATTGCAACATTGGACTTTTTACACTATTCACATATTCTACTTTGACTATGTTTTATTAATTTATGTATGATAAATTAAATTTTTAAAAAATATTGTTGAATTCTTCTCATTCTAAATTTTCAAAATATGATTTTTTTTTTAAATTTTTTACTAATAAGGACCGAAAGATATTAACGGTTAAACTTGTGCGTTGGCAAATGTGAAATGTTGACTGTTGCAATTAAAAAGGAACGTAGGAAGTATAATATTTTAGAAAGTTTGAGTCACTTTTCTAATTGAATTGACGTTATTGTAGATAATCATTTTAGCTATTTTATACTCCGTATAATTTTTTTATTTATTTTATTAATAAAATACTACGTATACTTTAAGGGGGTGTTTGGAACTGATTCTGCTTCTTAAAAAAACAGAATCAGAATCAGTTTTCAGAAGCTGGTCTCCCCGAGCTATAAAAAATTGATTCTAGGAGTAAATTAGAGCACCAAAATCATCTCTGCACTTTCACCCAAACACTTCAGCTTCTGTTTCTACTCCCAAAAGGAGCAGAAGCGGTTTTAAGAATCAGATCCAACCACCCCCTAAATATGTTTTTTCTCATAATCCAGTAGATTCAGGCTATTCGGCCATTTTGGTCAGAATTTCATCGATTTCATCAGAATCAACCTATTAGACTAACTATAACGTTAACAAATGAGCGCTTACTGGGATGGGGGTAGTACTTTTCCTCTTCTTTCTGAAGTTTTCAATGGGAAGACATTAAGAACTCGTTTGATAATGCCCAAAGCGGCTGCATTGGCCGATTCTGATGAAATCTATATAGTTATAGCTGAAGTGGCTGCATTGGTTGATTCTACTGATTTATGAAAAATTATACTTCCTCCGTCCCATTAGAAGGTTCCACTTACAGTTTACAATGTTTGACTGACGATAAAGCAACTTAATCCTCGTTCACACTCTGATTATTTTAGTTAATAAAATTTACATATTCAGAAATTACATTAAAATCGCTGCAAAGCCTGATAAAAAATGTAAATTTGATAAAAATTTGATATATAAAGCAACAGATTAAGAATGATTTAAGTTGACAATGTGAATAGTGGACGGGAACCTTTGAATGAGACGGAAGTAGTATTTGAAAATATATTTATTAATAAAATAAAAAAATATGAAAACTAAAATAATCCTGCACAGTAATTTCAGCTAACACAATCACAAAATAACTCTAACCTTACTTTTTCTTAGGAAAAATTGAAAATAATAATCCCAATTATTGCCGGTCCGCTGATAATAATCCCAACTATCGATTATTTCAGAATAATTCCAACTATATGGACCGTCTTCCAATAACGGTCCATGACCAGATATTACCTCCTATAACAAGTGAATTTTAAATAGAAATTGAGCGTAAAAATTAAAAGATAGGATTATTTATAGGGATTACTGACTATATCTCTTCTTATTTGCTTTAGAAACTACATAAATTTATTTACTGGGACCATTATTGGCGGAAGGTCCCTAAAGTTGGGATTATTCTGAAATAATCGATAGTTGAGATTATTATGAGCGGACCACCAATAGTTGGGATTATTACTATCAATTTTTCATTTTTCTTATTATTATACTCCGTACAATTCAGCACGCGTAATCAAAAGTTATGTGTTTGATGAAAACGTTGGTTGATAAGCCGGAAAAAAAGTTCACCAAATCGACTCTATATCACACCCCCACAAACAATTCATCCAAGTACCAAGTACCAACACTGATAGTCTGATACGCGTCCAGTTCCTCTCACGCGTAACAATTTTGCTTCCAATATGATGTGTGTTGATTGTGTTATAATTTCGGTACATTTGTTCTGGACAAATGTTTATAGACACGGTCGAGGAACACAAGTAATGTCTGTAATTTAACTTCAACTTGATAAGTTTATAGAGACAAAAACAAACAGGATATGCGAAGCAAACCGTTTTGTACCGCCAGCGGGGTCTGTTTTAGTGCTTTATCTTCTTTTTGGCCCTTTGCAATTATTCTCTTTATGTGTTGTTACAGTATGCATCAACTAACATATTTTTATTACGTTTCTTAATGTATTGAAATAAACATTTTCAAATAATATCAATATCAGAGTTGTATTTTCAAAAAAAAATCAATATCAGAGTTGTCCTTCATCTCATGCCTCTAATCTTTTTATGTCATCCAGTCACCACAACATCTAGATTTCATATCATTTCACCAAAATTTAGAAGTCTAGAGTTGGGAGATAGATTTATCTATTTTTACAATGCACCTTAACCTCATTACATTGAACAGCATCAATCTTTAAAGTACATAAATCTGATAAATGCTCAAAATTTACCCACACAATCTGAGACGGCCCAAATGGTTATTCAGATACCGCACTTTACATAGCAAGGTAAGATCGGAATACATTGTCACACAAGGTGTTTCCTTTTTACCCACAACCATAACTTACATCGGGTGTCACAACATCAGAGTGAAATGGCATTTCTACTCTCTCCCTCACAAGGCATCGGCTTTCACCGTTTTCAAAAACTAGCACCTTTCCAGGAGGGCATTCGGCTTTGTCCCTTTTCTTGCCAACCCCAAGCAGCTGAAGCTGCAGATTTGTGATGTTAGGGCAGTTACGTCTTTTCATAAGACGGATCTCAAACCCAGCCAATGTTAAAGCAGATATAACCCCAGCAACAGTCAATGCCACCCTGGCAGCTGCACCTAGAAAACATGTCACCCTTCCTGATGCACCTTTCGCTTCTTGTTGGCTGGACCCGCAGGCATGCTTTGCCGATTGCTCGGTTCGGGCTCCACTTATCACCCCGTTTTGAGAAACTGTGACTGGGGAAGAAGAATAAGGTCGGGTTGGGTATGGGGGGAGTAGGAGATCGTTGCTGCTTTCTTCTGCCGTGTCACCTACAAAAGCAATGGCCTCTTCTATAATGCCCATATTGTCCCCCTTGTACTCTTTCAGCTTCTTGAGCAACTTGTCCTGGGAATGGGCAATTCCAGCCAAGGCTTCTGCCTTTTCATACACATGTTGCTGGTGTAGTGCCTGAAGACAATGAGAAATAGATGATACATTTCCATATTCCAATGCAAAGTTTATATCAGTTGAAGTGCATTTGATACACAAGTAAATACGCTCCTCAAGAAAATAAAGTGAATCAAGACAAAGGGAGTTTCACAAAAGCCCTCTAAGAGCAGCAAAGCCAAGCAGTGGCCACAAAAAGAATGAAGCTGAGAAAGCAGCGACTTTTTCAGGTTAACCATTCCAACTAGCATTTTAGAATTTGTTATACAGTTAACCAACATAAAAGAAAAACCAGTTACATATAATGTTATGGTTTCAAAATTCCCATCAGTTACCCCGTATTTTCAGTCAACTGAAAACCGTCCTGAGATATGTGTTCTAAAATAATGAATATTGTTAAGCTATTTCAAAATTAATACTATGCACAAAATGAAGTAATCTATTATACGATTCATTCATGTTTAATTCTACCTCCGTCCCCCTAACATTAATAAGAGAGGAGGAATTGTGGTTACCAAGAAAAGTGATTTTATGTGATTATTATTGAATTCATAAAGTGAAAATAAAGTAAGAATGCCTTTGAACCACACATACATTACCAAATTTGGTGCAAGACAACCTTAATAGGACGGACAAAAAAGGAAAGATGAGACAATCTTAGCGGGATGGAGGGAGTATTAGATAACTTTTTGTGTGTCATGTGTATTCTTTTGGTTTTAAGTTCACCAATAAACTATACTGGTTCCGGTTTAGCAAAATAATGGTACGAGTAATGGTATTAAAAATCTACCATCCGCGGCATCAGTTACCGAAACTCGATTAACTGGCCATGCCCACCCTAGAGGAACGGAGGAACCCGACACCTTTCTTCTTGGACCAGCTAATGGAAGATTAATTTCTAAGGAGAAGATCTGGTGTATGGGATTATTACAAAGTATTAAGTTAAGAAACCATTTTTTAAATCATAAAAATCAATTAAACCATTGCCCCAAAGCATTATGAGAATAGGACTAAAGGCGTGTTTGCAAAAACCTAAAAAAAGCGTTTGTCAGCTTTTGACTTAAAAACCTGAAAAGAGTGTTTTCAAGTGACTGCTTTTGCTTTAATTAAACACTTGAAAGCTAACAGCTGAAAGGAGGTGGTGGACCGGTGGTGTGCTTTTAATTGTTTTTCACTTTTTCTATTACACAAAAAGCATTTTTTCTCAAACACTACCAACTTTTATTATTACACACTTTCTCTAAAACCAATTCAATAAATCACTTTTTAAAGTAGAAGAAATTGCAGCCATTGCCTAGGTTTGCCAAAGCAAAAAAAATTATTAGGAAATTCTTCACTCTTTCTTTTCCTCAGGTACCTTACATTTATGCAACAGTGCGTTGAACACCTATTGCCTTCCTAAACATGTGGTAAATATGCACTACTCTAAGGTCCGTTTGGATGGATGGTTTTGGAAAGCATAGTCAATATCTTGATATATATTTGAGATTTATTGAAATATTGACATAAGATGTAATTGTATGACATCTCAATTACACTTCATTCATTTTTATATACTATAGTATGAAATATTTATCAAGATACAGATTACTCCAGCCAAAGCCTTCCCCTCCAAAAGGACCCTAAGGCAACGGTTTGTTTCAGGAAAGCCTAGGTTCTTCCCGGTTTACTTTTAAATTCATCTCGTTTGTTTAATATGTAATGGATAAGAACCTAGATTCACCTAGGAAACCTCTAAGAGCTCTCGGTAACCCACTTTTGGAGGTTAAGTTCTCATAATAAGCAATTTCATCATGTTCACAACTTCACATTGCTTAACCTCCAGCCACACAAAGTTGCACTGCATTTACCTGAGTTGCCCTAACAATTACCGGATTACCCAAACAATATTTTTATATATGCACTTGGGCCCTCAGGTTTACTTAATTTATCCAAATGGACTCTAACACTGTTTAAAAAAAAACTTAAGTAAACTAGGTGATAAGTGATCTTAAATAAACCTAGATTAAGTAAACATTGAATGACTTAGGTAAGCCTATATGCATATATAAAGACGTTGCTTGGTTAGATATTAAGTTAACCCAAGTGGATGAAGTAAAAGTTTCTTTGGATGGAAGTTAAAATAGGTGGACATATTTAAATTATTTAGAAAGAAAACGGGATAAGGGTCAGTTTGGTCCTCGAAGTTGCAAAAAAGGAGTCAAATAAGTCCTTATATAGAAGATTCTGTCCGGAAGTGTCATTTGAGGTGGCTCCCGGTGGAATTTTTTGATGAAATTTTTTGAGCATCTTATTCATTAAGTCTAGTTTACTCATATCAAATTTCAGATAAAAATTCAATCGGGAAGACATTGAAATAAATTCTTGAAGATAATTGTGCCGTTAAAAGCGTAGTTATCTTCAAGAATTCATTTGAATGTCTTCCCGATTGAATGTTTAGCTGAAATTTGGTATGAGTAAACTAGACTTAATGAATAAGATGCTCAAAAAAAATTATCAAAAAATTCCACCGGGAGCCACCTCAAATGGCACGTCCGGACATAATCTTCTATATAAGGACTTGTTTGACACCTTTTTTACAAGTTTGAGTACCAAACTGACCCTTTACTCGAAAGAAAACATAGTCTTTGAAAACCCCCTAAAACAAGGTTCCAAAACTAGTTACGGGAGGTTTGCAGAGGTTCTTAAAAATAAACCTATGGTCTCTCAATTCAGGGAGAAAGGATTTGCAGTTGTCCGCTGATATCTCAATTCAGCTTTTCCCTTTTCATTATCATTTTCATTTCATTAGCTTTCTTTGTCATTTAGTTTTCTTCCCTCATCAATGCTTTGTAACCCTCACTACTTAAAGGTAATAAACTCTATTAAAAAAATGGTCTCTCAAATCTAGACTCTTGTCCTGAAATCTAATAACAAGACGAACCAAAATTTATACTTAAAAGAACCTATATTTACTTTGAAACAAACAGACCATAAGTTTCTAATAACAAGAATTAATAATTGGGTAAAGACTAGACTAAACCAAAGTAGACTGGGTACATCCCACTTGGAAGTAAAATCTAAGACGGATGAAATGCGAATCTTACCCCAACTGCCCTACCCCAACAGATATGTGTGTGTGTGCGCGCGCGCGTACAGGGGGAGCGGTTCCAACGAGGATGGTTCTTAACGTGCGAAAGTGGCACTTTTAACGGAATTCGATGTACTATGAGGGAGGGTCGGTTGTACACAGCCTAACCCCTGTACTAAAATAGAAACAGAACGTTTATGGATGACCCATGATGAAAATCGTGTTAAAAACTACATGGACTGACCGCTGCTTCATTAGAAATGATGGGAAAATGCGGACGCAGTTTCTTAAATATACCACCAATGCGAAAAGTGAAACATTCAAACATCAAAGTACATCACATTAAATTAACAGTGACGTCCGCACCGTTCTCACGTTTAACATTGTTCTCATTTCATAAGAAGTTTAAGAACGAGAGCAATTGTGTGTGTGTGTTTTATGGAGATGTTGTTTCGATAAGAACCTCGGCAAAGCTAATGGCTACCTAAATCAAATTGTTTGTTACCGGTTGCACCCATGTATGAACACAAAGGCATCAAAGCAAATAGAAGCATCACGAAGCAAAGCAAACAGAAATTACATTTGGCTATTTGCATAAGGCTTCAAACTAATGAACTTCTGATTCCCAATCAATCTACTATTTATACATCATAATGTATCATGTCATTAATTTAATTGCTTCATTATTTGCTCATAAACACATCTACTTTTCCATCATTTTCAATGGAGCCAAAGACTCGCTATCTATTGGCTTAATCTGATGGAATAAAGCAAAATGACTCATTAAACTGTCTGCGCTTCTTTATTATGAAGCAGCCATTCCATGCAACTTTCGATGTGATTTTTATCATTATCATCTGGAAACAGTGGTTAACACAGGGGTAAGGCTGCGTACATCCGACCCCCCTTACCCAACGTCCCAACCATAGATGGGAGCCTTTGCGGCACTGGGGTAATGTTGTTGTTGAAACACATCTACTTACCATAGGATATCAGGAATGTCGAATAGAATAAATCTTAGTTTCATTTCCTTAGCTAAAATGTATGTGGTTAAAGAGAGCCTTCATACTATTGCCCATGACAGTGCCTAGAGAAGGGAGAAACCGAGCAACTATATTAAATAAATGTTTTTAGTTCAGAAATTTGAGAGATGACGACGCAAATACATAATCACTAATAGCAACACATAAGACAGTCTTAAGGCTTGGTTGATTCAGGGATTCCAGAGGGTAGGAAAAAAGAGGGGTGATATTCTTTTTTAAATTTATTTCTACATTTAGATGGTAAAAAAACCATAAATAAAAAACCATATAGAAATACATGATTCATCATCATCATTTCATCATCATTTACCCCAGTGCCGCAAAGGCTCTCACTTATGGTGGGGTAAAGGGGGGTCGGATGTACCCAGTCTTACCCCTGTACTAAAGCACAGAGAGACTGTTTCCGGATGACCCATAGTGAAAATCAGGTCCAAAATTGTATGGACCGACTGCTGTTTCATAACAAAGAAGCGCAGACAGTTTAGTGAGTCGTTTTGCTTTATTCAATCATATTCTTAAGCCAAAGAATAGTGAATCTTTGGCTCATGATAGAAATACATGATTAATCATACATTTTTTCACTTAAAAAGTAAAAAATAGAGATGAATTAATAAAATACAAGTCACAATCCTTCCCTTCCACCTCAATTCCCCAATCCACTATATCAAACACTACCTCTGCCCCCCTAAGATTGGGACAAGAGGGAGTGGTGCGGTTATTAAGGAAAGTGAGATTGTGAGGTTGATATTGAATTAATAGTGTGAATATAGTAAGAATAAATTGTAATAACCCAAATATTACCAAATACGGTATGTGACAAACTTATTGGGACAGGGACAGACGGAAAAGGTAAAATGGGACAAAGATGGGGGACGGAGGGAGTAAATGTTTTTACTTCATAAATCAAATCAAAACCATTAAGCATTGACTGTGCATATACTTAAATCAACAAAACCAATACATAAGCGAGTCTTGGGGCATGTTTTGTTTGGGGATTTCGGAGAGGAAGAATGAGTTTAATCTATTTTCAAAATTATTTCTACATTCAGATGGTTTAAAATATAATGCAAATAAGGAAACTATATAAGAATACATGAACTAACTAATAATGTAAGTATTAGTAATAAAATATACAAAATAGAGATAAATAGGTAAAACAAAAGTAAATCATCCTCTCCCCTTCCCTTTGAGTTTCCCACACAAGCCTTAAGCTCATACACTCTTCATATCTTACTAATTATTGCCCCCAGGAGGATTTGATCAATCACCAGTAAAATAAGGCCCGAGGATGGTTGAAAATAAAATGAAAATAAAGAAATTATATAGAGATACATGAAGTAACTAACAATATAATTATTTATTACTCCCTCCGTCCCAAAAACAACTTCACAGTCACTATTCATTGGTCAACTTGAATCACTCGTAATCTTTTACTTTTTATATCAAATTTTTATCAAATTTAAATTTATTGATCAGGCTTTGTAGCGGTTTTAATGTAGTTTCTGAATATGTAAATTTTATTTACTAAAAATAATCCGAGTGTGAGCAGGGATCGAGTTGCTTTATCGTCAGTCAAGCATCGTAAACCGAACGGGAAGTTAATTTTGGGACGGAGGTAGTATAAAAACTAAAAATAGAGATCAATAAGTGAAACAATGGTCAATCATCCTCTCCCCTTCCCTTTGGATTCCCCAAACCACACAAGCCTTACAATCTTAAACTCTTCTTATCTTACTACTTATAACCCCCAACCACCTGAGGATTTAAGCAATCACAAATAAAAATAAGCCTGTCTGGAGAACCTAGCATTTTAGCCTAACCAAAGACTAACTAAAAGAATGAAAGTTATAAAGTTATACATATCCTACTTACATCAGGTTACTCTGGGACTTCTGCTGGGTCTCTAAGACTTCCAAGGCTCTGTTTGGTTCAAGTGAACTTACGTAAACAGGAAGCCGGGTGAACCTAAGTTCAAAAAACTTTTGTTAACCTAGGTGAGCCCAAGCACATTTACCAAAGTACTAGTTGGGTAACTACTAATTTAACTTTCATCAGTGGAGTGCCAGGGGCTGAGGGACATACAAGGGCAACAGAAACTCTGGATGTGTATATATATAACTACAAATACTTATAAACTACGGGGTATAAATTATACTTAAGTATGACCCTCCGGCCCCCTAATAAAAATTGGTTAATCTTCGGCGCCCATAATAAGCATTAGTTAACCTATGCCCCCCTAATACTAAATCTCTAGTTCCGCCACGCATATAATGTCATTTTGATAACTTAAGAGGAATCAACCTATGAGACCATCAATGTGGTGGCTCTTCAATAGGTTGGTGATGTTCTCAACATTCTAAGAAAATTTAGATTTCAATGGCAACAAAATATTCCCAAATGATGTGAGGTGAACCAAACTAAATCCTAAGGCCTACTTCCGCCTAAGCACACCATAAGAACACATTTACAGAAACTATACTACCATTTCGGAGATGAAGAAATGCAGCGGATAAGAAAAAGAGAAACTAAGGAGTATAAAGTACCTGCAATGAGGAAACTTGGACTTCAAGATTTTCAATAGCCTCTCGGATACTCAAAAGGCAATATGTTTCTTCATCTTCTTCTTCTTTGTCATCTTCTTCTTCGGCCTCTACCTCCTCTAAATCCATTCCGGTGCTTCCTTTCCCCAAATATCTTCCTTCCTTTCTACCATAACTGATGCAATTAGTTATCTTGAACCTCAATTCCATTATTCTGCCTAGCACCATCTCTACTTTACCCTCGTCCATTTCTCTAGTTTTGGGAAAAGTTCCGAAAAGTTGGAGGCTATGGAGGGTTGCAGTTCGAAACGAGGGTTCTTTGTTTTCCCTTATTCTAACAGATATATTCTTTCTTTCTTTTATTATTTGTATATATAAGTCTACGCTGAGCCGGTATAGAAACAACAAAACAATGGGATGTCTAGCCGGTAGGCCAACAACCCAGATGCTATAAAAGTGAAGGTGGGATATACAACTATACAAAGACGAGCCAAACAATTTATCGACCAGAATTGTTGAAGTTTGAAATAAAACCTAGGGAGATGTGTCAAAATCTCAAACAAGAAAATACAGAAGATAGTAACTTGGAGGGTGGGCGTTGGGAGTGACACAAGTTAGAGGCCCCTATTCGACTCCAAGCAAGGACTTGGATGGAGCCTCACCCCTTTTCTATTAGAGTGAGACCAAAGCTTAATTTATATCCTCTCATCTAACTGTTTGATCGGTGTTGGAGGTCCTTAGAGATGGGGTGTCATCTTTTTTAGAGGGTGGAAATTGGGGTTTAACACATTACCCCTTAAATCATTTGGAGCAGTGTCATATTAGAAGTCCAAAATTTTAAAAATGAAAATTTTGAATTCCTAACTTCATATTGTTGTAGCCTAAAATGAGTAGTAAAGATACAGAAGAGGGTGAGGGGTAAATATGGAGGGAAAGTTGACGGTGTGAAAAAAAATTGAAAAGAAAAGAAAAGAAAGAAATGGAGGAATGCAATGGCGTATCTGGATTTCTTTTGAGCGGGACAATTTATGTTATAAAAATTGTTATCATACGCATTTCACAAATACTCTATTATATTATGAAGTGGTATTTCACAAATATGTTATATTATGCATTTCACAAATACTCTATTATATTATCATACGCATTTAAAAAAAATATAAGTAACAACTCTTATTAAAAAATGACGTATTTTGTTTTTCATTTCTTCTAGGGAAAACTGTCAAATAGGTCCTCGAACTTTCATAAAAAGGTCAATTAAGTCCTTCTATAGGAGGTTCTGTCCGGCCGTCGCGATTTGGGGCATTTCCCGGTGGAATTTTTTGATGAGATTTTTTGAGCATCTTATTCACCAAGTCTAGTTTACTCATACCAAATTTCAGCTAAAAATTCAATCGGGAACACATTCAAATTAATTCTTGAAGATAACTGCGCATTTTTGCGTTCTCGAATTAATTTGAATGCGCTCCCGATTAAACTTTTAGTTGAAATTTGGTATGAGTAAACTAGACTTGATGAATAAGATGCTCAAAAAATTTCATCAAAAAATTCCACCGGGAACCGCCCCAAATCGCGACGACCGGACAGAGTCTCCTATAGAAGGACTTAATTGACTTTTTTATGAAAGTTCGAGGACCTATTTGACAGTTTTCCCTTTCTTCTATAAAATCTTTGCATTCTCTTTTTTTACATTATCACATTAGTCCCCGCCTAGGCGCAGCGGCGGAGCCAGAAAAATGTGTGAGAGGCGTCAAAATTTAATTACGTACAGTATCAAAATGATGGATAGTTTTTTAGGAAGAGGGGAAAATGATGGATAGTTATTATATAATATTTGAGCTAAATAATGTTTCATATGTAGCTGAGATAAATAGTAGTTTAATGAGCACTTTTCGGTTAATGTAATGATATATATGTAATGTATCATAATATTCACACAAATAACGACTGAATAAGGTGTTTTATTTTTAAATTTAATGATATAATTAATCTCACACATCAAATTTTGCTTATTTCAAGTTAAGATGGTGCTGATTTTTCCCGAAGTTATAACTTTTTACTCGTAATGAGTTACGAGACTCATAATATATCAAATTGAAGGTATTTCAGAGCTCTACATTCTTCAACTTTTAGCGGGGTCGGCTGACCACTCTGACCCCCAGGCTCCGCCCCTGCCTAGGCTAGGCGGTGGTCGGGTGCTCCGATTTTTGTTTAGGCACCCCGACTAATTGGTTTGACGCGTAATTGAATTAGTCGGCCGTCTAGGGCGCCTAGTTTTCTGCTTAGAGCGTCTAATCGCCGACTAGGGCGCCTAGATACGCCAAACAATTTTTTATTTTTAATTTTATATTTTGTAAGAGATAAATGCATTTTTAACTTTAATCACGAATATGAGGAAAGATACTCGTAAATTAAGACAAAAACTATATATGTTTGTATATATAATTAAATATTACTATTATATAATGTTTATAGCATAATGCAGTCAATTGATTAGTTATCAAATATTATTGCATGTGACAATTCTATCATTCATGCGTGATAGAGGGTGTGTGTGTGTGTTTTTATACACAGTACACAAACACGATACTACCGTTTTACTATGTATTACTTGTCATATTTATGCAAACATATTGACAAAAATTCAATTTATGCATCTCCGACTAGTCTCCGCTTAGGCGCCCGCCTAGCTGCCTAGGTGCTAGATAGGCGTTGGGCTGGCGCCCGACTAGTGCCTAGCGCCTTTTGGAACATTGCATTGTCTTTACTTTCCTTTTAAGAAATATTTTATACCGTTGATGTAACATCACATTTATATAGTACACTAAGATATATTAATCATATATACTCCATCCATCCCAAATAATTATTCTCGTTTTCACTTGAATCGGAATTTGGGAAAGTAAGGATAAAGTGAATATATGGTCGAGCAAGAAAAAGATAAGCAACATTAGTCATACAAAACTTTCTCAAAAGAGAAATAAGAATAATTTTTAGGGGCATTTCAAAAAAGTAAGTGGACAGATTTTTTTGAAATAGGGTAATTTGTAGATTAGGAAAATAGTGTTACCTAAAAGAAAAGTTTGAGATAAAAGTATTCAAAAGTAAACAAAGTTGAGATAAAAAAATTTAGGAGGCAAAAAGAACAAACTAGTACAATACATTTAGGAAAATAGTGTCAATAATTGATAATTTTTTACATAAAATAAAAGATTGAGATAAAAGTATTTGAAAAGTAAACAAATTTGAGATAAAAATTTTAGGAGGAAAAAAGAACAAACTAGTACACTATATTTAGGAAAATAGCGTTAATAATTGATAATTTTTTACATAAAAGAAAAGATTGAGATAAAAGTATTCAAAAGTAAACAAGTTTGAGAAAAAGAATTAGGAGGCAAAGACAACATATCATATCGGGGACTCCTAATTAGGAGACAAAAATTAGAAGTCCCCCACATTATGTAGGGGGGACTCGAAACTACCCATTACACACCATATCACTTCCACCGTTGTACCACTTGATATTAGGGGTGGGCATGGGTCGGGACGGTTCGGGATCAGGGTTATCCCGGTCCCGTCCCAATTAATAATAATGGGACGGTACGGTACGGGATAAGCTTTTGTCCCAGTCTTGTCCCATTTAAATCGGGACCGGGATGATTCGGAACGGTTCGGGACGATTCGAGACGTCCCAAACTAACAAAAAATAATCATTTGTAATTAATATATATTAGCATTCCTAAAGTATCATGCACTAAAATATTAACATTTTAAAAGTTAATTAATGTTCATCACAAGCTAAAAGCTACTACGTATTAGATTTTAGTTAGGTTTAGCAAAATTTGAAATTTAAATTTAAAACAAAGCAAAAATGAATTATTTTATTCAAAATCATTTGTTATAGTTGCGAGATACTCATATATAGATATATAAAGTGAGATAAAAACCTATGTTAGTAAATATTTATTTTAGGTATTATTTTTAATTTAAAAATCGGGCATGAAAACTAAAAACATGTTATCATTTATTTTTTGAGTTGATATTACAAACTAGTTACATGCTACAAAATCTATATAGTTATTACAAACGGGACAACGGGACGGTTCGGGATAACCTTCCAATGTCCCGGTCCCGTCCCGTTTGAAACCGGTACGGGACCGGTGCGGGACAAATTCAACGAGACCCAAACGGAACGGGACAACACCGGTACGGTTTCGGGATATACCGGAATGGGACAACGGGACCGGGATTCTTGCCCGCCCCTACTTGATATACTCTTTATAGAGAGGATATTAAACATATTAATAATACAGAGTAATATTTAGCACATGTGTGTATATTGTATATACACAAAATATTATATGTATACATCTCCTATCTATATAATGTGGCTTAGGTAGTTAGGTAGTTACGTTGTTACAGGACCTACGTTTGTTGACATCGTTTACTTCTCTCTTGCTAGAATATGTGATGGAGGCTTATTCAAGTTTTGTTTGATTTTTGTTAATTTGGATTTTGGAATCTTGGTTAAGTGGCCTCCGGCACTCGCCTTCTGACTCCCATGTGCATATCATTTTTTCGTTCAGACTGAACGTCTACTAATACTCCCTTATTCATTGGCCATGCGTTATACTCTTGTAAACGATTCCAAAAACTAAACGTGCTTTTTTTCACCCTATCGCTCGTTTTGTGAATGTATAGAAATTGAACTTGCCCAACGGTATTATATTTTGGGCTTCACTTCCCACTTATTGTGCTCACATATTCCAAACAACCAGTCTTGCTCGAACTACGTACCCCTGAATGTTTGGACAACAATCTTCTGCTCCCGTACTTAAAGATTATTCTTTGAAAGCAGTGCCTGCTTGTTTCTTATGTGATGCACATTGCTTCCAGTTTGAGCCACCTAATATGTGTTGTAGTCAGGGTGAAGTTGTTCTTATGTCAAGTGAAATGCCCTCACAGCAACAACAATTATTCATATCAAACGACCCTCTGTCGAAGCATCTCCAGGCATGCGTTCGGACATATAACAACACTTTTGCATTCACGTCGATAGGGATTCACAACTACAGGATACATACGTTCCGATGGTCAAACATATCATTTCATAAATGAGTTGCTACCTGATGGATGCCCACCCAGGAACTTGCATTTGTATTTCTTCGATACTGAGACGCCTTGGGGAGGATGTTGGAATCCACTGAACGACTTTAAAAGGATATTGTTGTAAGCCTGATGGAAGTTCTGTCTGCAAATCCATATGCTAAGTTTTTTCAAGCTGTACCCCACCCTAACCCTTACCCATTAACCCTGATCCAACCCTATACCCTACCACCCACCCCTAACTCGTAACCCTTGTCTACCTATACGGCTATACCCTACCTCACTCGTACCCTACAAAATATCTTACCCCTACCGTTCACCTTACCTGACTCGTACCCTATCCCTACCCATACCACGGGTATGTATGGGGGTGGATGGTAGGATGCAGGTAGGGTCGGGGTGGGGTTTGGGTAAGGTGGGGTGGGGGTGGGGGTGGGGTGGATAGAAGGTAGGGTTATGGCTAGGGGTAGGGGTAGGACCGTAGGGGTAGCAATAAAAGGTAAGGATAAAGGTAAATTTGAAAATTGAAAAGGCTTAAAGCGTCGCTTAATTAATACATGTGGAGTGGTATGCTTAGTAAACGACACTTTAAGCACTTGTTTCGATTAGTAAGCAACTTTTTAAGCGGCATGCATGTTTACTTCTCATGTTTTACTAACATAACTGTGACTTTAACCGGGAAGTAAACACATCCCGAGTTTCCCTTTCTCCAATGTCATAGAAATATTAAAATGAATCCTCCAATTTTGAAAATGTATAAAAAATACTCCAAAATATTCATTTCAGCTAAGTGTTTTAAATATTTCAATGCATAAGGTGTTAAAATAGAAAATAATTAGAGCATCCTCAATGCTACAAATCCTACAATGTGCACGGTGCACATGTGAAATGAGTGATAATCACATAAATATTAACAAATAAATTATTCCTCTCCTTATTTGAATGATTTTAATTTTTTTTTTGTAAGTTTTTATCCACAATGTCAAGAAGACCGTCTAGATGTACTCATTGTGGTTGACATTGCAGAGAAAAATTTATTAAAATCGTATAAAATCATTTAAATAAGGTGAGAAATAATTTATTTGCTAATATTTATGTGGCTATCTCCCATGCCACATGTGCACCTTGTACATTGTAGCATTGAAGATGCTCTTAGAAAGAAAGAATAATTTTGTAACGTGTTTCTATTTTTCGTAATTAGAAAATAATAAAATAGAAATTTACCAAAAAAAAAGCTTTTCAATTTCTATAAAAAGAAAGAATTTTCAAACAACACCTAAGTAATCCAGAGAGATATCCCCAAATACTGTTCCACATAGCTAGATTTAACCAATAAGGAATTTTCTCTCCGGAGCAAAGTTATCTATCCCCCAGCCAGTCCGCCGGCATGCTCCTGAGACGCCCAACCCGATCCCAATAAACCCTTCTGTTCTTTCAGAATCCGATTAAACTGTTAAATTTATAATCCATCCTCACCTCTTTGGTCATACTCACGTATACATTTTTTCCAGAAGGGATATATAATCGCCCAGTCAAGTTGATGGATGATTGCATTTGTATCAGTAGCGAAGAAGAGTATTACTCATCCGATCAAGAATCCCTCGACGGACTCGAGAATGAAGAGTCCGGTTCCCCCGCTCTAGGAGGAAATTCGTGCAAGGTATCCATATCGCTAATTGGGATTCGTTATTGTATCAGCTTTGAGCTGACGGTACAATTATGTTAGTTCTGTTCATTGTATTTCATTTGATTGTAGAATTATTTGCAAGGCAGAGAAGGTTATATTGAATGATTGTAGATTATTTATTTTTCTAGATGAGTGAAAAATGAAAGTGGGCAGGTAACCATAGCTTGGTTTTTCATCTTTAAAAGCTTAAGTGCTTAACCGCTTGAATTATGGGCGTTTGTCTTTAGATATGTAGTCCCCTGCACAGATTCAAGGCTGAGAAGGTTATTATCAATATATTCTTAGTAAAAATAGTCCCAGTTTCCCTCTAACGAAACGTGCTACTAGTGGGTTTTGAATGTAGATTTAGAGCTCTTACACTTTCATGCATTTTGTAGGTGATCACCAAAGAGTCTTTGTTGGCTGCACAGGTAAAATACTTTCTTCCCTTGCAGCATGTTCTGGATGATCAAAAGCATTTAGGTGTATTGTCACTGCACGTGGTCTCTTAATGCTTAATATACTTCATTCATCCCTTCTAGAGGGAGGATTTGCAGAGAGTGATGGACTTGCTTTCAATAGGAGAACACCATGCTCGTACTTTACTCATTCATCATCGCTGGGATGTTGAAAAGCTCTTTGCAGATCTTGTTGAGAAGGGAAAAAGTCGCCTTTTTGCTGAAGCTGGGGTATCAATAGATGAGAATAATTATAATGGTCACACAGTCACTTCTCCTTCAGTAATGTGCAATATATGCATGGAAGAGTTACCTGGAAGTGAAATGACGAAAATGGACTGCGGTCATTGTTTTTGCAACAGCTGTGAGCACCTTTCCTTAATTTTTTTCATTTTTGTTCTTGCATACAGATCATCAAGTCTTGTTCGAAAGGTGTAGTTTTTTTATCAAATGGCAGTGTGCATTTCATGTACAATGTTTTAATGGTAGTCATATTTAGGAATTTTATCAGTGCAGGACCTGAAATGCAGGTCAATTATGAATTCAAGCACATCAAGAAAAAAATGATCAAATCTGGGACTGAAAAGATTAGCAATTTAGCATCAATCAATTCAAGATTCAAAATGATGACACCCTAGCTGATACCTGATTTAGTCACTCGATTTTACTCATCGACTATACATCATTACTCAATTTGGGCCTCAACTTTTTTCTGGACTCAATTTGGTCATTGAGTACACAATTTGATTCTCATACACGTTTGTTTCTACTGTTCTAAACTAGTACAGTAATTTTGTCTGTTCACTAAATGTAAACGTAATTTAGGATTGAATGTTATCTTTAGCCATGTAATCTGGGTCCAATTTAGTTCTCATCGGATGGAAGTATGCAGTTTATTCAGAGAAAAATATGCTTTATGGTTAAATTGGGTCATTCTACCTCCGACCTCTTACGTCGGGACACGAGGAAGTGATGTGATTATTAAGAGAAGTGGAATAGTGTGGTTCATATTGAATTGATAAAGTGTAATATTACCATTCAGATACAAAAAAATAAGCATGAGTTCGAATGACTCAAATAGCCAAATAATACCAAATAAGGTTGGAATGACTCAAATAGTCAAATAATACCAAATATGGTTGGGACAAACTTAGTGGGGCAGACGAAAAAGGTAAAATGGGACAAATGTAGAGGGATGGAGGGAGTAATTGCATAGTCGAAATCAAAAGTTAAGTCCAAAAGAAAGCAATGGACATCGAGTAACAGTGTATAGTCAGGGACTAAACTGGGCATTAAATTGCAATATGAGTTCTAATAGAATCTAAATTGGAAGTCATGTTAAACTGTTAAAGATAAAAGTAATATTGAATATATTAGCTCAAGTTTACTGACTTTCATCTATCGAGTTTCATAAGATGATATGCGGAGTATTACATAATTTGATAAAAAGGTCTGAAAAGGTATTAGAGTCTTCTTGTTAATGTATACTCCGTAAATGCTTGGAAACAAATACTTTCTTGGCCAATTTTATCCATTTAAGCTCAAGTGTTTTAAAATTTCAATTGTAGTTCTGTAAATTATTCTCAACTCAATTATTTTATGTTTGTATTTTTTTTATAAATTTTTAAAATTTGATTGGCAGCCAAGCCAATTAAGGTTCAATTGACAATGTTAACTTTTCGAGACTTCAATTGGTCCATTACTTATTCTAATTTCTAATCATTCAGATTGATGCTTTTTTCTTTCAGGTCTTGAATTGATAGTTGGCCAATCTTTCATATTTTGAATTGGTCTTGGATTGATTCTTGAAATGGGTGCTGCTAATCTTTATTGATAATTTATTGTATTTGAGATCTTGCAATGATAGTTGACATATCTTTCAGACTGATGAAATTCCTCTTTTTTTATGAGTGAACTTCATTAATTACTTTAGCATTCACTGGGTCACATGGGAAATGCATTCAATGATAGTATGAAATAACTTTTAATAATTGCCAGTTTCGTAAGTGCTCTGTTTTTTTGGTTGCAAACTTCCATAAATGCAATTACATTTGAATTTTCTTATATTTTTTGCCAGGCTGGACGGAGCATTTTATTGTGAAAATAAAGGAAGGTCAGAGTAAGCGTATCAGGTGTATGGCTCACAAATGCTTTGCTATTTGTGATGAGGCTGTTGTGAGGAAGCTAGTTAGCAAAGATCGCCCTGACTTAGCAGAGAAGTTTGAAAGATTTCTCCTAGAGTCATACATTGAGGACAATAAGATGGTTAAATGGTGCCCAAGTATCCCTCATTGTGGAAGTGCTATACGCATTGAGAATGATGACCATTTTGAAGTGGAGTGTTCATGTGGTTTGCAGTTTTGTTTCAGCTGCTTATCAGAAGCACATTCCCCTTGTTCATGCTTGATGTGGGAGCTTTGGGCAAAAAAATGTCGTGATGAATCAGAAACTGTGAATTGGATTACCGTTCATACAAAACCTTGTCCTAAGTGTCATAAAGCTGTTGAGAAGAATGGTGGATGCAATTTAGTTAGCTGCATCTGTGGCCAAGCATTTTGGTAAGACTTCCTACTAATCATTTACTTCATACTAGTACTATTTAAGTCTTCATGCAGGAAACAGGCTTATAACAAAGTTGTTTTTGGGCATCTATAGTAACTGTTATGTAAAAAAAAGGGGAATTTTGAGTTTGCACCCCACTTTTTGTGTGATATTGGACTTTGCACCCCATTTTCAAAACTTTTAGACTTTGCACCCTATCTACAACTTTTTGTGAAGAAAAATTCCTAGATGGGGTGCATAGGCAAAGACATTTTAGGGGAAATAGGGTGTAAAGTCTAAAAGTTTTGAAAATGGGGTGCAAAGTCCAATATCACCCAAAAAGCGGGGTGCAAAGTCAAAATATCCCTAAAAAAAACTGTGATTTGAAAGAACACGGGGCTAGATGCGCTTTTGAGAATATTCTTCTTTATAAGTTTTTAGGTGTTATATTCATATTTGCCCATGTGTCCCCCTCACTCACCATCTTCCATAGTAATCATTATGCCCTTATGATAATCGGACTTGACCTTTTACTTATTATTGTTGTTGTTACCATAATCATCATAATAATCTACATTGTTAGAAAAAGTCACCCACATCATTATAAACCCCATTAAATTAATTTTCACTGCAGCTGGTTGTGTGGGGGAGCAACTGGGCGTGAACATACGTGGTCCCAGATTGCCGGACACAGTTGTGGTCGTTATGTAGAAGACACTGAGAAAAAGGCTGAAAGAGCAAAGCGTGATCTTTCTAGGTATATGCACTATCATAATCGGTATAAAGCTCATACAGATTCTTTCAAGCAAGAATCTCGACTGCGGGAGATCATTATAGATAAGGTGTCGAGTTTAGAAGCGAGAAATACAAAATTGAAGGATTTTAGCTGGGTTACCACTGGACTCTATAGACTTTTCAGATCAAGAAGAGCTCTTTCCTATTCTTATCCCTTTGCGTATTACATGTTTGGTGATGATCTTTTTAAGGATGAAATGCCTGAACAGCAAAGGGAGATTAAGAAAAACTTGTTTGAAGATCAGCAACAACAGCTTGAGGCAAACGTTGAGAAACTGTCTAAATTTATCGAGGAGCCATTTGATGGGTACAATGAAGAGCGAATAATGGAAGTAAGGATGCAAGTAATCAATCTCTCTGTACTCACTGATACTCTTTGCAAAAAAATGTGAGTGTTGCTGCTCTTTGGGGCAGTTAAATGTGTATATTGTTTGTTTTATTTATGTTCTCTAAAAACATATACTGTGTAGCATATACTAATTTGTCAAACACTGTTGCAGGTATGATTGTATTGAAAATGAGTTATTGGGTTCGCTTGTGTTCTGTAACCACAGCATAGCACCATATCAGTCAAAGGGCATTGTAAGGGCTACAGAACTCTCTTCTGGGTGGAATGTAAATAACAATGAGGATCAAACAGTGGTGGATCAGACACATGGTAATTCTATTTCCCTTTACCCCACCATACATCATAAAGCATCTGTATATGTATGTTTGGGGGTCTTCTACATCTTACACATTTTTTTTGGTTTAGAGAAGATAGTGAGAAGAGAGATATGACATATGAGTGAGAAAGACTGAGAAGAAAAAATTAGTCATCATCATCATTACCCCAGTGCCGCAAAGGCTCCCACCTGCGGTGGGGTAAGGCGGGGTCGGATGTACGCAGTCTTACTTCTGTACTAAAGCACAAAGAGACTGTTTCCGGATGACCCATAGTGAAAATCACGTCGAAAATTGCATGGACTGACTACTGCTTCATAACAAAGAAGAGTAGACAGTTTATTGACCCATTTTGCTTTATTCCATCATAATCTCAAGCCAAAAAATAGTGAGTCTCTGGCTCCATTGCAAATGATGGAAATAAGAAGGAAAAAAAACATTTCTTGTGTGCGTGGTTGAGAAAAAATTAGTATAGAGAAATAAAATTGATTCAAAACATTTATTTTCTTTTGTCTACCAACCAGATGAGAGAATGCCAGAATGGTATGTGTGCGTGGTTGAGATCTTGTCCAAGATCCAGGGAGAAAGAATGAGAGAGAGGAAGAGCCAATAGGAAACTTTGGATCAATGAGTTACGAGTCACAAAGAACTAAATATACCAAAGTTGCAATTAGTCGGTGTCCATACTCCTATAGCTATTACAGGCAGTTCATTAGTCAAACTTGAGGATCCTATTCTCCTATAGCTATTACAGGCGCACTAGTCATAACTCATAATAGGAAACATAAAGCTGAAGGCTAATAAGAAGAAGCTGGTTAAGACGGAACAAGAAAATAGAAATTGTAATATACTAAGGGAACTACAACAAGTACTAACTTGTAGCAATAATACTATTACAAATAATAATAATAACGATGACTTTGACAGCTACACCAACACTCTTAATTATAATAAGACTTCTTCGGTCGGCCCTTATTTCTCTCCCTTACCAATTTCCTCCTATTTCTCTCTCCTACCAATTTCTTTCAACCAAATTGTTTCTTTTCAAATTTCAATTAACATGTCGGACTGTCTTATACTCTTACCTCCACGTTTTCAAGAAACCAGAGAGAGGGAGGGAGGGTCAGTTTGAATGAAGAGTTTTGGAGGGCTTCATCTGTATTTTGAAAAATAGAATATCTCGAGAAATGTGCCCAAAGGATTGAAATGTTCTATGATCACTATATTAATCTTTCAATTTTTTAAATATAAAAAACATATCAAGACATGGACTAATCCCTCTAAAGCCTTGCCTCACAAATACTTCCATCCAAATGGTCCCTCAGGGTAGGTTTAGGAGCCCTGTTTTTGAGGGTTTTGTAGGGGTAAGGCAGACGATGAATTATTTTTCATTTTATAGTAATAAAATTTAAAAATTGATAAAATTAAAAAAAAAAGATAACAAAATGTTGTAATAAATTAGTGTCACCACAATGTTCTGGTCTTTTATCTATTACCAGACCACATATTTGTCTTAATTTGATTATTATTTAAAATACCCCCATCCCCACCCTTTGTAGTTGAAACAAAAAGGGGGATGTAGGCTATATTATTCTTTGAAATACTTCGTATTAAATTTTTATTGTTGCTGCATTAATTAATATGACCGGACATTAATGTGCTTCTGCTCCTAATGAGCCACAGATGGTGAGCCACCACAATGTTCTGCAAGCTCAGACGAGAATAATGGCCACACCTCTACCTCTCGAAAGCGGGCCAGAAATGAGAAGAGTTTGTTTGATCTTAATTTGCCAGCAGAGCTGCTCGACAAGCATTGACAGTAGTTGACTTGCTCTTCATTTATATATTTTGAAGTGTACATATTTAACTTGAGGAAGCAGCAACTAGCAGATACTGAATGTATTAATTCATATTTTTGGGGAGATGAAACACAATGTTTCGTCCACTTTTGTTGCTGTAGTAAAACACTTTATCCCCCAATGAGGCAGGGATTTGTTTATTTATATTAGTCACTACATATATAATTTGGTCTGAAAACTAAGAACTAAGAAGTACTTCTAAGTTGAAAACTGAGTGATATTTTGGCGACTGATCTGAAAACTGGATGGATCAGATAAGTTTTTATAAAAACTAGAGATTTTGTTGTTGAATGTGGGTCATGTATATAAAAGTGCAAGTGAATCTATATCTGAAACAAAACCGGCATTATAAAAAGCAATGATAGTGTAGGGGTACAGAAGTGCAGTCTTCTATATATGCTACACATTTTGTATGGGATGTATTTTGCATTCTTGCATCATTAAGCATTGAGCACTAAAGTCCCGCATATGTACAGTTCTGTCACCATGTGTTTTGGACCTTTTGGTAAAAAAAGTAGATTCCATTTTCAAGTGATGCAAGACAGATTTATTCCCATGTTTCTTGGTAAGACTAGTTTTTACTTGAACTTCATTCCCCACATGAAAATGCACACAAATAGTTGGAAAAACACATATAGTGAGAAACTGGTATTTTGCACTCGTCACTTGTGTCTTCATGGGAATGATAGACTTCATTGCACAATCTTTATTGCTTTCTGCTGCTTGTCTAGCCCCATGACATCGTATCCCGTCTATATATAAATTTGGATTACACGCTGCACTCACGTCCATCCGATCTGAGGTTGGAAAGTCCTCATTTGTTGGAGTCAAATGCGGACTCTGAGGAAAACGTAAGGTCGAAGAGTCAAAGTGTGCTGGCTTAAGTCTTGATAATTTGGTCTGGAATCGGGCAACTTTGAGAGATGGTCATGCCGCATGCATTCGGTACTCTGTAGTCACATATAAAGAATTTACCCCTTCATGAAACACATTGGTAAAAACAATTAGCACAATCAGATGAGCAACTATTCGGCTATTGCAGTTTATCTAAACTGCATTGGAAATTTTGTGTCAATGTGATGAGCTAAGTGTCAACTAATTAATAACTTAAACACATATACAACTGCACTGAACATAATAGGGAAAACATAGTTCTGGCATTTTCCTACCGTGCAATTTTTGGCCTCAACTTTCTCCCGACAGGAGTATAGGTATACTTATAGTTATTCTGACTTTCATTTTAAATTGAAGAACAGAAAAGCATATACATAACCTGCTGGAGTAGCACACTTGGTTAGAGCGTGCGACCAACCAGTAACTATAAAGTTGGTTTCAGCCCCTTTCTGTGGCATCATCTCGGTAGCATATAGGCTTTGTTTAGGAAATGGCTCATCATTCACTTTTAGCTTGTTTGTCCAATTTAAGATGAATTAATTTATTTATCGGTTAAAATATGTGTTTGACGAGACACGTGGTTCAAATAGTTTCTTCATAAAAAGAGTCATTTTTCTACACGCTCCTAGAAGCATTCCATCTTGACGTTTTTAATTTTTTATTTTGTTTTGTTTTTTCTTCCATTGTGTCTGCGTTTTTTTTTTGTTTTTCTATGTTTTGCGTTATCCATTTAGCAAACATAGATGGGTTTGTTGGACTTATTATTTTACTTTTACTATTGCATAGGACTCATTCTTCTCATTTTTAGAAGTATTGATTGATATTTATTCCCAAATTGATTTGGGACTACAAGAGGGCGTCCCATACAACTTGAGTACCTTCAAAATAAGAGAAAATAGTCCGATATTTTATACGGAGGTGGACAAATAAACAAAAGAGGCTAACAATACACAAGAGACAAAACTATGGTCCACAGTCCACACCCCATACTACCTTTGGCATTTTCCTTCCTATTTTTCCTTCCACACCCCATATTTTATTACTCCGTATTACCATAAACAATACTCCGTACTACAACGTAATAGTAATATTTGTTGGGGCATGGGGCCTACTCCTATAAGGCCGACCCAAGACTTGTTTGGGCATTTGGCTAATTGGCTCCATCCTGCTCGATATGCCGTTTATCTAGCCGTTGCACACCCGCGACTTGGACGAATGCACCCATCAACGACAACATCAATGTTCAACGTTTCAAAATCATTTTATCTGATGACAAACGTTCAATCAGTGGTATCATTTTCTACAAGGCATAACTGCATAAGGACTCAACATCGAGTATGGCAGGAAACAAGAACATCATTTGATGCATGAATTTAACAAGATATTCAAAGAGAGGATGATCGGATGGCAATATGACACTTAGGCCCTGTTTACTTAGAACTTATTGGACTTAATGAAATGTATGACTTAATCGGTAAGCTATATATTCAATTATTCATGTTTACCTTGGACTTTAATGAAAAATATGACTTATTCGTTCAGTCAATTGGTGACTTAATCGCTCAGCCCAAATTTGATACTCCTTACGGTTCAGACATATCAACGAAGCAAGACTCTCTCTTTTAACCCTGCTTCTCTTCTGTGTTTCGTCACTTTCTCTGGAAAATACTCCGCACATCATTAGCCGCCAAAGCTCTTAAGGGAAAAGGAGAGTGGGCCGACCTTCACCGATAACGACGACCTTTGTCGGCCGGATAATCTATCATTTCCTTCACCTAAGTATCTCCTCTCATTCTATAGGGTTTTTATTTTATATTTTATACTTTATTTATTTATTTATTTATTTATTTATTTATTTATTTATTTATTTATTTATTTATTTATTTATTTATTTATTTATTTATTTATTTATTTATTTATTTATTTATTTATTTATTTATTTATTTATTTATTTATTTATTTATTTATTTATTTATTTATTTATTTATTTATTTATTTATTTATTTATTTATTTATTTATTTATTTATTTATTTATTTATTTATTTATTTATTTATTTATTTATTTATTTATTTATTTATTTATTTATTTATTTATTTATTTATTTATTTATTTATTTATTTATTTATTTATTTATTTATTTATTTATTTATTTATTTATTTATTTATTTATTTATTTATTTATTTATTTATTTATTTATTTATTTATTTATTTATTTATTTATTTATTTATTTATTTATTTATTTATTTATTTATTTATTTATTTATTTATTTATTTATTTATTTATTTATTTATTTATTTATTTATTTATTTATTTATTTATTTATTTATTTATTTATTTATTTATTTATTTATTTATTTATTTATTTATTTATTTATTTATTTATTTATTTATTTATTTATTTATTTATTTATTTATTTATTTATTTATTTATTTATTTATTTATTTATTTATTTATTTATTTATTTATTTATTTATTTATTTATTTATTTATTTATTTATTTATTTATTTTGTAGAGTCTCTCCTTAAATATGTTCAATATACTCTTAAGCATAAAGCATAGCCCTACCTCCATAGTTCATACATACGGCCGATGGAGCCCTAGTAACTGAAAGCTACATCTTCAGAAACTAGTGGATTTGATGAGCAAGCTAAAGTCAGCAACCGCAAATAGCAAATCCATCTATATATGCTCACCTTATTTGATTCTTTCATTTACTGGAAGTTTGAAACATATGTACCATTATCTGATTGTCCGTACTCTGGGAGATAACATATCAATGAATTTTGGTTAGCTAGTATGGTAAATTAAAGGGCTTTAGATGTTGATAATTTTTTGTGTTCTAAATTTGTGCTAATAGGTTTTCCATGCTAAAGTACTGACCAAAAGTGTTCATTTGAAATCAATTTTGTGGATTTATTTTGTTTGATTTGTGATGTAAGCATAACAATTACTAATGCTATTTAGAAGTTTAGAAATTTTGATCCACAACTAATGTGCTGCCACCTCTTCTAGAAGTAATTTGCTGCCTCCCAAAATTGATGTACTACCTCCGTAACAATGGAATGTTCCCATTTGAAAAGTAGGTAGATTAAGAATAGTGAAAGGAGATATGTATTATTAGGGGTATGATGGGAAGATAGTGAAATAATGTGATGGAATGAAGGATAAATCCTAAAAAGTAGGTGTAATAGTGTATTGTTTTTAAAATTATTGAGAGTATGATGAGAAGATTTAGAAATGGGAAGATATTAGTGTTACGTCCAAAAAAGGAAAGTGGGAAGATATTTATGTTACGGAGGTAGTAATAATTAACAATGTTCACTTTCTCCACGTTTTGGTTGTATTAACCATATGTTCTGAGTTTTTAGCAAGTCACTTACTCCAGTTTCCCCCCTAATTTTATAGCATCTTTTCCCAGTAGTTTTTTTGTCCATTTGTTGGCATGTTGTATATGTGTCCTGTGCAGTGCCGGTCCTACCTAAATTCGGGCCTGAGTCGATCTTCATAAAAAGGCCTCTGTAAATTACATTTTTATGATTTTTTTGAAGTTAAAGACTAAGGATGTTTTCTTTTGGATTGAAATTTACTGGTCTGGTCTGGTAAACGTCTGGTCTCTGTATATTTTATAACTATAGAAGTCTAGTCTGGTCTGGTTTAAGACTGAAAACAGTCCAAAAGAAAACATCCTAAGCATCACAAAGTAAAATTAAATAAAATTCTTACACACACACACACACATATATATATATATATATATAGATAGATATATAATATAGGAACACCAAATGTATTTAAAATAACTAATGAAGTACAACTCATCAGACAATTTTAACCGCAAAAGTATTAATTAAGTTGGCATAATCAAGGTGTTCAATAAATCTCGTCAATTCATAACATAGTTAATTAACGAAAAGTCAAACAAATGTTGAAACTAAATAAATAAAACCACAATTTATCGAAATCATATACGAAGTATATTATAAATTTTGATGTATTAGCTTTTAAGTGACATATACTATATTTGTTAAACAAATGTGCTAAATAATACATACTGACACATCAGTAAATTAGAGAACCTAACCTACTTAAAATTTAAATAATTTAATTTTGCATCTGAATTCGTTTTTTAAAGACATCTCAAATAGTTCAAATATCCCAAATTAAGCTCGAACTTAACTTTCTAAACAAACGGATCAATCAATGACGTCTCAAATTAATCCTTGGAGCAACTTATTATTTATCTCCCATGTACCAAAAAAAACTTTCATTGGGCTGATAGAGTTTTTAGCTTTACAATTTCAAAAGTCACAAGTTGTGTTCAGTCTTTCCATTGCATTGCGTTGGTACCTTGGTCAGATATTTTGGTTTTGAGGGGCAACAGCAGATAGAA